CTGTTTTTGCTACTTTTCGCCTCTCCTGTTCTCCCCTTACCTGTCTACTTGAGTCTCTAGGTTGGTTTCCACTTCTTTACTTACTTGTTTTTGGAGAATCGATGGTTAGGTAGAGAATGGGATTTTTAGATGCATGACTGCTCGATTTAGAACCAACTGCCATTATTAGGGTGCTAGATTGTTGTAAACTATGTGTTCGCCTCGATTATATGGGCTGTGCGCCCTAATTTTGGTTTGCTATGTAGTTTGCCTTCTGCAGAACGTATCAAGCTAGTCTGCAGCAACCATAATGTCGTGTTCTGTGTGCTTAAGTGTGGGGAACCTCTTTTCCCCCTATATACGTTTTCTTAACTTGGTTTGCATGGTTCCACGTGTCGCTGTCTATTTTGTAGGATCACGTTGCTCGGACATCAGTACCTGCAGAATCTGCATCATACGCTTGAGTATGACATAGTTTGCTGCAATCAAGCAATGGACCATTGAGGAGCACTGGCACTAAAGGAGGAGTACTGTCGCTACCACCTACACCAAGTTGGTGTGGGAGTTCTACTCTACTTTCCGCATGGCGGCGGATCAACCTCAACTAGGTCGTGCTGATGCCTTGCAGTTCCGGCTCGAGGGCGTGGACTAGGAGATTAGTATTGATGAGTTGGGGGAGGCACTAGGGATGAGCTTTCGTGCACTGCATTACATATATTTGAGCACCCCACACCCCAGGGCATCAACCTCATCGCCTAATACAGCCGGATCATCATTTCAGAGTACCAAGAGGAGCGGTTCAACCCTTGCAGACAAACGCCACCACTCTCCAGTCATAGTGGCAAATTATTCACCTCATCCTGACCCACTCGGTGTGCCCCAGTGTCACCTCATCGCAAAAGATCACAAAGCGGGAACTCTACAACATGTTCTCGATGACCCAGAAGGAGGATAATATGCACCTGGGCTTTGTAGTGGCGAAGACCTTCGCCAAGTCGGTGAAGCATCTTCGTCATATGTTTTGCGGTGCTGACTTCATGGTCGCATTGGGTTACCTTGTGAATATTGGTTTGTTGTCATATTGTTATCCCGATGCTGTGTGATTTTTTTATGTAGTGTCGTTGTAGGTCGAGTTTTAGTATGAGAGAAGTTTGCCACTTCCCCCAATTGTGTTGAAACTAACAGTTCTGGAGGTATTTCTTGCCTGTCTGTGCATGAAATTGTTCAACCTAGACCACCCTTTTCTGCAGGACCTCCGGTACCACCAGGGTTACGATGCCTCATTTGCTTAGTGGCTGGAGGCGCAGATTGGAGGCCACTACTGCCTTAATTTTCCTTACTTCGAGCACCTCAACTATCGTGCCACGATTGAGGAGGTGGTACCGCACCCACAGTGGAGGTGGCTGCTGGAGCTCCAGAACGACATCTACGAGGAGCTCACCCTCGAGTTTTACATTCACCTTCTAGCACTCCCGGAAGTAGCAAAATAACTACGAGGGCACCGTCTACTTCAGGCTGTGCGACCAGCCCCACACTTTGAGCTACCGAGAATTCAAAGTCGCTCTTGGTTTGGACCCGGGGTCCATGCTCAGAGTTGAGCCAACACTGTCACAGGAGGACTACCAGGGCTTCTACGAGGAAATCTGTGTGTAGCAGTATAGGGCAGTCCCTTACGTGCATAGCCGGACCTGGGCCACCCAGCTCCAGTCACCGTGGCAGTTCCCCCAGGACATGCTTACTCACTCTTCCATCCCCACTATGGAGGCCTCCAGTCAGGTGACTAAGTGGCATATGTATCCGCTGATCATGATGTCCCACCTAACTGACCATCTGTGCTTGGGCTCCATGCTGGCCATCTCTTTCTCTCGAGTGCAAGGTTCTCGAAGGTTCTGCCAATGCACGACGGCCCCTACATCACTTGCCTGGCCCGATACTTTGGCATCCCCCTCGAGGTCCGTCGTTGGGTCAGCCACACCCAGGACTTCCCCGACGAGACTCTATCTTCCATGAGGATGATTCAGGTGTCTCGGGCTTACAACTATTATCCTAACTCTTACCCAGTCATAGTGAAGCTAAACCGTCTCTTGTACAAGTAAAAATTTCACCCATAGAATGGACCGCCTACTTGAGGATGTGTTTTGAAGGGCACGGATAGAGTTTCCAACTCCTTTTAATTTCATTAACCCTCCTTTTAAGTGTGGAGACATTTGATAGCACCGTATTTCCACATATTTTTCCCGACATTTCTTAATGGTTTGGTTTAGCATTTGATTACTTTGTGACCCGTTTTACGGGAGGCATATCTGAAAAGATTAAGATGATGGGTCGGGTAACCGTTGATTGCATGGTCGCCGGGAGCGGCAATAGGAATGTCCATGATGAGATAATGGGAGGTTTGGAGGCGGCGGCAGTGGCAGTGGGTTCTTTTAGGCGCAAGAGTCTTTGGCCGTTGTGATATTGAGTGGGCGCAGGGCTTGAAGTTGCTTTGAGTCTAGCGTGGAGTGGGTTGAAGTGGAAGGAGCTGAGATGGCTTTCGGAGGGACGGTGACAGGGGAAGACGGTGGTGTGGCAGGTAGAGCGACTGCCATAGGTGTCAATCGGGCGGGTTCGGGCTGGGTTGAATAGGGTTGCGGGTTAGTCGGGCTTCGGGTTCATCGGGTTGCGGGCTCATCGGGTTCGGGTTCAGGTTCAAACGGGTTGCGGGTTAGCCGGGTTGTGGGTTCATTGGGTTCAGGTTCAAACGGGTTGCGGGTTAGCCGGGTTGTGGGTTCATCGGGTTCGGATTCAATTGGGTTGTGGTCAAATCGGGTTGCGGGTTCATCTGGTTTTGGGTCGGGCGGGTTGCGAGAGGATCGGTTTGCGGGTTGTTCGAGTCAGCGCATCAGGTAACTTACTCCTTACTCGTTACCAACTTACACATTTTATTACACTAATTTAAAATATTGCTCTCGATTTTTATCAATGTCTTTTCACCTCGTATATATACTTAATTTAAAAAAAAATAGTCAAAATGTTGAATCAATTTGTATTACTTGCAAACTTGTTATGTAATTAATTTTATTGGTAAAGTACACTAGCTAATAGTAATGGTGATATCCACATTTGCAACAAAAAGACACCATTAATTGTTTATTTGGTATTTTAGTATTATTGTTGTAACTTCAATCATAACTTAATCAATGACATATATCCTATACACATAACCTTACCCTCAATCGGCAATATTAAGTTAGCATATTTTGTTGATCGTATACCCTAAACCATCAATACATTATACACTAACCACATACCCTATACCCTAACCATATATCCTTATGAGTTGTGATATTGCTAGTATAGTTAATTTAAAGTGAAATTCATACTTTGATCTTCAAAACATAAATAAAAAAGTGATATTTGCTATACCCTAACCATATATCCTATACTCTACATCATATATCATATGTCCTAACCACGTGCAATAAATATAGAAGCATAGAAAACAAGTAGACAAATTTAGTGAACGTTTCTAAAACAATTTATTGTTGTAACTAATGGTTAATTTAGTTATTAGACCATAAGCATATAAGAATAAATTTAATTAGTCATACCCTCCATATAAAAATTAAAGATTCATATTTTAAAGACTAAAATTTTGAAAAACCAAAAAATTGAAAGCACCAAATTTGTTTCCTTCTTTCTTTTTCAGAAAAAAAAAATTAAAATTCTCTTCCTTCTTTCTCATTGCATAAATTAGAAACACTCAATTTTCTCTCCTCTTTTTCTTCCATAAAATTCAAATAACCAAATTTTCCTCCTCTTTCTCTTCCATAAAATTGAAGATTCAAATTTCCCTCTTCCTTCTTTCATTTCACAAAAAGTTGAAACGCAAAATTTCGCTCTTTATTTCTCTTTCATAATCAATAGAACCAAACTTACCTATTTCTTTCTCTTTGTACAAATCAAAACCACCAAAATTCCCCCTTTTCTTTTCTAAAAAATTCAAATAACCAAATTTCCCTCTTCTTTCTCTTTACAAAAAGTTGAATCTACCAAAATTTATCTCTTCTTTTAAAAGCATCAAATTACCAAATACATTACTTTAATTTATTTATATTTAATTAACAACTTTATTGAATAGTTAAATTAATCAAAATTTTAATTTATATATTATATTAATATTATACATGATCTCAATTATTAATTCTTCATTATTAATATTGACATTGTGCTGATTTTATATTTTATATTTATTTTTTAATTTTGTTAAAAAACTTAGTGTCAAGTGACCTTCATATTTCAATTTTTGAATTTTTCTCAAAATACATAATATCAATTGAGTTTAATATTTTTTAAATTCCCTATACGAAATGAAAACATAATTTTACCTAAGTTTAGAATGAAAAACTTTATTTTGAAAAAATATGTATTAAATAATATAATAATTATTCAAGTGAATTAGGTGAAGTTCGGGTTGAGTCGGTCGGGTTACGAGTCAATCGAGTTCGGGTCAATCGGGTTGCGAGTCAATTAGATTGCGGGTTAATTGGGTTGCTGGTCAGTTGAGTTGCGGGTCGCTGACTTTTAATCAATTCAGATTGCGGATCAGGTTAGTCCGGTCGGGTTTTGTTTTGACACCTATGGCGACCGCGGTGGATTTGCAGACGGTTGTAGAGGCAGAGCGGAGGAGGAAGAGAAGTTCAAATTTTTTTGGAGCGACACTTTTTAAGGGAAGGGAGAAGCCATTGTTGCAAGCACATTAAACAAGCACAAGCCCAGCTGAGTGGGGGTCGAGATCAATGCTCAGCAACTCCCAGCCTGAAACGAGTACCGACATGTCACAAAACCAGACCACTAGTAACAATTCATTCTTATACACAGTTAATTTCGCGGTACACAACCCTTGTACAACCCAGTGAACAAGTAAATAACACACAGCTCATGCCACAAATAACACCATAAAACCTTTGACAATACATTGCCATGGGGCAGACATCTCAGACCTAAGACTACTGTATATAGAGTGGTTGCAATTAATAGTATCATCTAACAGCTTGCTGCTCCCATATTTTACCACCCGTCACAGCATTCATATCACTACTCGTAACTCTTAGATTACAAAGCAAGGCTTCACGACCACTTAACACTGTTTCAAAGAAGGTATCCACTTGTTTAGCAAGGAGGTCCAGGCCTTCCGATAGCTTCTCAGCTCCACCCTGCAAATCAGTGAAGCAAATCTTCAAGGCTTCCTCCTCCACCCCAGGAGGTTGCTGCAACCTATCTCGAATCGCAGGATACAGAGTCTTCACAATAGAATCAACAGAATCCAGCTCTTTCAGGCCAGTAGATTTCTCAGATGGGAATAACTCTCTGATTTCCCCACTCACTCTTGTTTGCAAATCTGAAAAAGCCCGAGCCCACAAGACTGTATCTGGGATAGCCAAATCCAAGAGATTCTTTGACGAGCTGGAAAAGGCAGAAGCAAATACACTGCACACAAATATCGTCACCGCCTTGACACCATAAATGGCATGCAACAGGACCTTTCCCTTGGAGGAATTCTTAACCTTGGGAAGATTCAATGCCTCGACAAGACTGTCTAAGATGGACCTGCAGCTCTGAACCCTAGGGTTCTTTGAATAAATATGATGTCTCCAGTTATCAAGGGCAGAACGTGCCTTCATACAACACTCGGGGGTCCCAGATTCCAAATTATGCAAGGCACACTGAAGTAAGAGATGGCCTTGGTTAAGCCTTGAGATCTCAGAACTTAGAGCAATGCAAGTATCGAGCAACCTCATACTGTCGTCCAAATAGACATCGATCCAATTCTGATCCCAGCCAGTGACTGGAAGATCGAGATCGGTGATGAGGGTCTTCATGTCAGTATGAGTCTCACAGAGGGATTCCATGGCTAATTTCATCCATGTCAGACTCAGAACATCACCCTGGTCTTCTGGAATAAGTTTTCTTAGCCTCTCTGCTAAGGTTTCCTCAAAACTGTTCAGTATAGAAATAAGCCTTGGAGACATCTGCAAGCCCTTTGGCAATATCCTCCGGAAAGGATTTCCCAAGGGGAAAAAGGGTCGGTGTGGATCCTGTGGACGGCTCATTTTCAATGTCCACTGCAAGATTACAACGAAAAACAATTTGTTATCAGCAAAGACATACAACATCAAGGAATTAACTGTGTAGGGAATCATTTCTTTTCACCATCGTCATTTATCAGCAACATACAAGACATCGAGAACCACAACAACAACAACAAAAGAGATAACAATAATAACAGGAAAACAAAATCAGCGTTCGTCACCATCGTCTAAGTTCCATTCTTCTTCTAGTATAGACTCATAATTCCAACTTATTAGTTAATTTCTTTCGTTGACCATCAAATCCAGCCCGAAATATATCAAGGTAGCCACCAGATTCAAAACACCAAAGAGGAGAAGGAATCAACCGACGGTAGACTTACCAAAGAAAGCCTCTAGATCTTCCGATTAGAAGAAGAAGAAGAAGAAGAGAGCGGATCTGACGAAAAACCTCTCCCAAATCCCTCAAGGAGCACAAAACTAGACCGCCTATTCACCTCCTAATCCTAAGCTACCTGCTTTCCGATCCGAACCAACTAAAACACCTAAAGGGGGAGTAAAGCCAAAGAAAAGGTCCAGAAGGAATGAAAAATCATAAATCGATTTCTTACCTGAAACAGTACTCAGCAGCAGGATGGAAGTTTTCCGGGAAAATTACTTTCGTGCTAATAAGATCTCCCACGCGTACACGAAACTTCCTTCCAGAAAAGAGAAATTCTTCCTCTGTGGAAGAAGGAAGATTAATGGCTGGTTTGGTTGATTTCGTAATGGCTGGCGGAAAGGAATGCGAGGCTCACTGGGCTGTTAGGAACGGGGTCGTCACAGCCGGACCACGTGGAAGAAGATGAATGGATGATGTTGAAATATTCCGGACGGAGTCTGATATTTTCAAATCAATGGCTCGGGGTAGGATTAGGGGTGTACATGGGTCGGTTGGGTTGGGTTTTGATCATTATAGTCACCCGACCCATACATCATGGTTTACACATCATGAAATCCAAATCCACCCAATAAAATTAGAACCACACGGTTTGGATCGGAGAGTAAATCCAACAAAACCCAACCCATACATCACGGTCCAACAGAAATATGTAATTTTATTACTCATTTACTCTTTTGTCTACTAGTAACTTATTTGCTTACCAAACTAACAGCTAAACAAAGAAGATTGAAACAATTGCAATTCTCATGTGTGATAATCCAAAAAATTGCTGGTATATATATATTTAGCTACGGAGTTGCAATTGGTTTTCAAAAAGTGTCTTTTATACAAAAGAATAACTAAATCATGAGGCTGCAGAAGTTCAAACAACTGGAACAAAGGGCAAAGGAACTTACTGATTACATAGTGGACAACATGATATAAATGAGTTGCGGGTGGTTCGGATTCTCCGGGTTGGAGAGTTCCCAAACTGGGTCCAACCGTGTATGTGGACGGGTTACAATAAATAAACCCGGATCCACCCATATATTTTGTAGCTCAACGATTTTACGGGTGGGCCGGTTCGGATTGACGGGTTGGATCGGTTTACGGATTGATATGTTCACCCCTAGGTAGGATACTATGCCAACCCTTAAAACGGTTGGTTTATTGAAACCCACTTGTTAATTGGTCAATTTTTTATTAATCATTGACTAGTATTAATGAAAGTAAACATAATAAATGTTCTGTTATTAAATACAAAGTAAACATTAAATAAACCACATTAATTACTTGTTTTTTTTAAATCTAAACATATACAAAATACAATTCTCTCTCTCATCTTTGACCTTTCTCTCTCCTATCTCTGATTCTTCCTTTCCGAGCAGCCTCCGACCACCACACATGCGAAAATATATCACTGCACTGATATGTTGTACCACTGTACTAGTATTTGTACCACTGTATTGATAGTCATATATGACATTGGTACCAGTGCACTGATATCGCTACTAGTGCAGTGGTACAACGTATCAGTGCAGTGGTATATTTTTTGCAAGTGGTCGGGGGGAGTCTGCCGATGAGATTTTCACAGGAGAAGTGTGACGGTCGGAGAAAGTCTGGTGGTCGGAGGCTGCTAAAAAAGGAAAAATCAGATATAGGGAGAGAGAATGTATTTAGTGTAGGTTTTAATTTGAAAAAAAACAAATAATTAATATGGTGCATTTAATTCCTAATGTGTATTTAATGTGTGTATTAAATTCTATAGTTGTATTTAATACACTAAGAGGGTGTCATTTTTCCAAACCCCTCAAGGGGGTTACCATTCTAACCGATCCCATGGCTCGGCTGTTGGGGAGAGGAGAAAAAGGTTCACCGCCAGCTAGCCGTGGGGAAGGCCCGCTACCGCAAAAATTAAACCCGGCGCAATAGATACGGAACAAGCAGCGGTCCCACTCACTCTGTTAGTTCGTACTGTCAACCCGCGGGTTGAGCCGGACCCGGTCTATCTAGTGCGTTAAGGGTTGATGGATCACCCGTTTTAGCCCGAATTAGCTTGATTTAGTCCAAAAATATGAAAAAGTCATTATATTTTACTTATTTTGAATTTAACAAAAAAAAAAAAACAATCGTACTTAAACTCCAATACACTTAAATTCAACATAGAAAAAATTCAACGGCACTTTGGAACAAGCAGCCCGCTGACCCGCTCGGACGGGCTAACCGTCCGAATTCGACCATTTTCGGACTAACTCTCAAATGAGCTATTTTAACCCGTTTTCAAGGCCGGATCCGGGTCAACCGGTGGGTCGACCCGCGGGTTGACAACTTGGTTCGTACTTTCCCCTTAATCCGCGGTCACCATCCTCTGCTCAATTAATTCAGGTAAATTGAACAAGGTTTAGAAAGGAGTTTGGGAGAAGAGCCTCCCTCTAGGCTCCATTGCTTCCTCTAAAGTTTAGAAGCTAAGGAGGGTTGCGATTTGGGGTCCTTGGTGTCTTGTTTTTTGTGTTAGGAGATGAAAATGCTTTCAGGTGTTGGGATTATTTCCACTGCTTACTCCACTTTCTTATTAACTATGTATTATTTCCATCAACGGTAGTTGAACATAGATGCGATGTAGCTTAATATTACTTAGGCTTTAAGCTTTTAATTGCTGAGGATATGGAATTCCCTAGCCTTGTTTCATTGAGAGGCTTTCTTGCTGGAGGTGGCTGAATTTGGTCTGTGATGAACTCCTCCTATTCAGGTTCCTAAGTTGTCTAACTCGTCAAACATTAAATAAGATTTCCTAATTTGTGTAGCAAACCATATGATATAATCATGCTACTTTCTTGAAGTTGTTGATCGTGTGATTGCAAGGTGAGTTCGAGGGCTGCAAGACTGAAGAGGATCAGAATGGCTTGAATGATGATCAAGCTCGAGAAGACACTGCTGGCTGGGCATGATGCATTTACTAGATAGGTCATATTTTGGTAAGTTTTCCAGTTCTAATGTGTATGAACCATTCAATTCTGCTTCAATATATAATATTGGGGTTAATTGCATGGTTGGTCACTGAGATTACAAAAAACGTTCATGTTTGGTCACTAGAATTATTTAAATCCATTTTTGGTCACTAACTATACAAAACCAGTTCATTTATGGTCACTCTCCGTTAGCTGCCGTCCAACGCCGTTAACGACGTCCGTTAAGTGATGACGTGGCTGACGGATTCGCCTAATCAGCACCTTTTAACCCCAAGATTGACCACCACGTCATTTAAACCCGCCATGTCAGCTAAATCTAACCAAACCTAACCAAACCTCTACCCAAACCCGACCAGACCCAACCCACCAACAAAAATGACCCGCCCGCCACTAATCAAAACATAATTTCTAAAACTAAAACCCTACAGGACATTCCCCTTCTCCTCTCCATCCCGCGCCGCCTTCATCTCCCCCGCGACAGTTCCTCTCCACTCGTTTCATCGGCGACGAAGGAGGAACGGAGCCCCCCAACGAGTGTGGTTGAGGAGGTCGAGTATTCCCAGTTCTAACCCCCTACCCATTTTCTTCCCCATCGCTTCTGATTTTCCCCTGTTTAAGCAGACTACAAAACCCTAAATCGAAGCTTTCACACTCCTCCTCTCTCCGACAACGAAATCCTAAAGGTGAGTTTCGGGCTTTTCTTTATTCGAACCCTGTCTGGAAAGTCTGGAAAGTCTGAAAAAGAGAAAAGAATAAGGGTCAGATGAAAGTATCGAGTGGGAAGAAGAAGCTTTTGGGGGTTCTCGTTTTCCTTTGTTTTATACTAACCTGCAAGCTCTTGTCCCTTTCCTCCAGGTCACCATTTCACTACTGAAGGAACATGGTGGGGCATGTGCGGGTATAGGTGTCAAAATAGAACCCGACCCGCGTAACCCGCCCGACCAATCCGACCCATAACCCGCCCGCAACCCGAATTGACTAAAAGTCAATGACCCGCAACCCGCCCGAACCGCAACCCGATTGACCCGCAACCCGATTAACCCACAACCCAACTAATCCGCAACCCGATTAACCCGAACCCGATTGACCCGAACCCGACTAACCCGCAACCCGCCCGATTGACCTAAATAATTACTATATTATATACTATATAATATAGCAAAGGGAAGTTCATAAATAAAGAATATTACTATCTTTCAAAATAAAGTTTTTGTTCTATACCCATGTAAAGCCAAAATTTTCATTTCATAAATGGAAGTTTAAAATATGAAATTCAATTTGAATTATGCATTTAAAAAAAAAAATAATAAAACATGAAGTTCACTTGGATATATATTTTTTTAGGAAAATTATCAAAAATTAAATACGAAATATAAAATACCACACTGTCAATATTGATTATGAATAATTAACAATTGACACAGTCTATAACATTAATATAGTATATATATATATTAAAATTCTGGTAAATCTAACTATTCAGCAAAATTATCAATTAAAAATAAATATAGTAAATTAATGTATTTGTAAATTTAATTATTTTAATAGAAGAGAAAATTCAGTTAAATTTGCTTTCGATTTATGGAGAATGAAATAAGGAGAAATTTTGTGTTTTCAACTTTTAGGGAGAAGAA